AGAACCCCAAATTCAAGGTCATCTGCCAATGGAATTAGTCAGTTAGTGCAGCTGGAGCTCCTGAGATGCTGCAACAAGGGCAGTAATTTATGTCCTTCTGCCCTGCACCAGGCCCATTATCCTGGGAAGGAGCACAGTCCAGTCACGAGGCAGAAATACACCATTTGATATTGTTGTTGCTGCTACACAATTTAGAGCTGCTGCTGCCAGAGCCTTAAACGTTCCCTAAGTGGTGACTGTCTTCTGCTAATGCAGATGCATTTCTTTTGTGAGCCAGCTTACTGCTGTTCTTGTTGGTCTATGCTTGCTGTCCTTCCATTTTGGATGCAGACAAGGGTCCTGGGTCCAGCTCTTTCATTCTTTCAATACCAGGACTGGAAAACTCCCCTGGGTCATCTCCTGAATCAGACAGGGTCGTCTTCGTACAGTAGTTATCTCCACCACTCTGCCTGGGAGATTGTACCATGCTCTAAGGCACCTAAATGCCAGATTACCCCCCAGTCAGGCTACACTTTACATCAAAAATTCAACAGGCCACTTTATTTACTCTCCTATCCTTCATCACACAATACTTCTTCTCTGTTTTCTGGCTCATCAAAGCCATAGGAGAACATGCAATCATCAGACATAGGCATACATAAGACCTATTGGGACGTAAAATCTAATTGTCCATACTCAGTGAATTCACCTCAAAGTGAACGACCATCTCCTTGCAGGTTGCCTTTGACACTTGGTTTCAGCCTCTTCCTTATCCCATGGGTGATGGTGGATGGGACCACCCCAAAAAAAAGGTCTATCCAATCATGAGAGAGATCAAATATCTTCCATTCCTCAACAGCAGCTGCTCTGTCTGTCCATGAACAGGCACAGGCAGCTGTGTGGTGACACTGGGAAAGGTTAATATGTGGACTAGTAGGAAAACTTTGGGGTTCACAGAGACCTCCCTTGGGGTTCAAATGAATCCTCTGTCTGGGAAGCATCCAGCATCCAGAGCACTTTTCAGCACAGGCAGTGCTGGATGTGGGTATATTCAGACAAAGCTGAGGTGATCAGTGATTATATCTGTAAGTGAATGCTTTTGTTGCCTTTTGATGACTCAGGGTGTCTTTTATGAGGTAAAATTAATGCAAGTGCTTCTCTTTTTACAGTGGCCACACTGCCCAGGAAATGAAATGCCATAAGGGGAGCAAAGCTCATTAGTTTGGTGCCGTAAATGGTTCTCCAAGGTCTCAGAAAACCTATGATTAACATAAACATAGACAGAGGCAATTACCAACAAACATATATATAAAACCCAGCTTTCCATCTAGAAACATGGTCTGCGGTATCCCTCTTTGTCTGTTCATAGATGTGGAGACCTAGAGGTAAGAGACTTTTCATACCAATCGTGACATGAACCAAAACCTGAGGAAGCCAGCTGAGGGTGAAAGTGAGGACTACAGAGCACATAACAGAGTTCCCAAGGTACCAGCTAAGGGATCTTGCAATTCACCCTCAGAATTATATCCTTTTTTGGAGAAAATTGAAGCAAATCCTATCCTGGCATGTTTTCTTCACACTGAAGTCTTCTCTCAGGCGGTTACTGTTAGGTGGACTTCTAGGACAGGGCAGAGCAGTTCTAATCTTATAAGAACTACCTCAAGTCTTCATCTTGTTATAGCTGGAAAAGTGTAAATCTTGTCAGGTTTTCTAGCAAGTTCCATGAGATCCATCAGAAGGTAATGTTCAAGAGGAGGACAAGAACAGAGGAGGATAGAAGGAGTGGGTCAGCCACAGGTAGGCTGTGTAGGCGTCGCAGGCCCACGTATTTGTAGGAGACTGAGTGCTTTTTACTCTGTGTTTCTCACTTTAACCTTGTGTATTTATTCAGAATAGCCCCAAACATGAAGAATGAGGCGTTTTGTAAAAACCAAAACTTGGTCTCCTGTCTCTGTGGCAACCATGTCAAGAGACAACTGTGTTTTGCCACACAGGCAAATAGTGAAGGAGACAGGGATGTTTGGGCAAGGTCAGGCAGAAAGCTCAGAGTTCCAACTCTAACAAAAGTCACATCAAGTATGGGAGTTTATGGATAACCTGCCCTATAGGAATATCCCCCACAGACTCCTGATAGTCAAAAAGCAGCTTGAAGCACCTCTTCTACTCTGTTTTTAACAGGTATTGTCATGACTTTAGATGCTCCGTCTGTTCAAGCAATAGCACAACACACTCTGAGTGTGAGGCTGACATCCTGCAGTAATGAGTTTCGCAGGCTGATTACTTGTTGCATGATAAAAATAAGTTGCCAGCAGCTGACTCGGAGAGGCAGTGGGAAAAAAAAAAAAAAAAAAAAGAAGTAGTGCTACTTGTTTTCTCAGAAAAGAGAGAGGGGGTAGGGAAGGAAGAAGGTTTACAAACCTGCCTTGGGACTAACCCAGGGCAGGAGAAAAGCATGGAGGTTTGTTAACTGACCTGGTGGGGCAGGACATGGTCATGTAGGTTGCAACGGTTTTAAGTTATGTGTCCTCCAAAAGTCTTCCAAAGGAGGTCTTGGGGACTTTGTGTTGTTATTGGTCCACAAAAGGTTCTTACCTTACATCTAACCCCTGCCTAAAGGAACCATGGGCTTCAGTTGCTTACATCTGACCTTTGGAGTAGCTGCTATGATGTCATCAGTGTTACAATTTTACACAAAATTAGGTGTGCAATTGTGTGTTAAATAGTGGTAGTTAGCTTGGATTGCCCAACTAATGAAGCAGGCAGCATTAATGTTGTCACATATGGACTGCTCCAGGGCACTGGCAATATAAGGGAGTCTGAAATCACTCCAACTTAGTGGGAAGAGAGACATCCCTTTATCTCCTCTGGCATCCCCACAGTGGGACAGATCCCTCTAACCCAGCTCTCACCCCAGCAGTGCTCCTGCAGTTTGCTCTGGACATTACAAATCTGCCTCCCTGCCCAGGCAGTCTTGCCCAGGTTGTCCCTGTAGGCTCAGACAGGTGGCAGAAGCTGCTGATCACCTCTAACATGTGCACAAGTTTTGCTTAATTAAGAACAGACTCTCTAATAGCATTCATCACCATCTCCTGATGGCTCTGGGACTACTCAGACTGTGGCAGCACAACCAGTCAGGCTTTTCTGTCATACCATTCATGTGTGACATCCTAGAGGGTGCAGTGGCAAATATATAATTTTATTTTTCAGCATTGAGGGACTCAACCTGGGACAGACTCAGTCCAGCATCCAGTCTGGTCTCCAGGCCCTTGGATAGTTGCTCTGAGCCTTCCTGCGTGACTTGGTGCAGAAACACCAGCTGGGTGGTCACTGTGGTGCTGCCTTAGGTAACATGGGTGCAAATCTTACCTACCAGAGTGAGGATTAGGCCCAAGGTCTTACAACTGAAATTTCTGACCAATATCACTGTGAAAACATTTAGTCAGTGACTATATTGGTTAGATCCTGGAAGATGCTACTTCACCTTCTAAACTATAGTTGTTTCAGGAAGGAAGTGCTTCATCTTGTTGTTTATTCCCCAATACTTAACTATAGTCATTGTAAGGAAAGAAGAGTCTTTTTTGGCTCTCAGGCTGTAGTGATGACCACAGAGTCAGGGAATGGGCTGGGGGAGATTCTCCTCCTTTCTCCTCCCTTCTTTTGGACCACCTTCTTGTCCAATTTGCTGTTCACAAATGCAGTACAAAAGCTTTGTCAAATAGTGCCACCTCTTATTTTAAGCAAATCTCAGTCCCAAGACAGCATTTCTGAGCATGGCAGCAGGATCCCAGCAGGGAGGAGGTGACAGGGCCACCAGTTTGGCCCAGCCAGCTGCCCAGCTGGGGTGTGAGTTTGGCATGGGGCTGCACCAGGGATCCTGTGGTGGAGCTCTGGGCTAATTCTAATTGGAGAGCCCAGTCCCTTGGCACCTGTCTGCATATGGATGGATTTTGGCTCCTGTTCATGTCAGTCTTCCCCTGCAGCCACCTCTACAGTATTTAAGTATTCTCCTGGTTCACCACTATGCAAATATTGAAATTAGCCCTTTGCATGATTATGTAGATAGTGACATTACAGACTTCTTCAGATCATGTGCCTTCTCTGCTGACAGCATCAACCATCAGTTTCATTTTTCAGTGAGTTAAAGAATGGCCCCCAGTGTATAAAAAACTTCACCATTGAAGTATTTGGTATTTGGAATATTTCTTTTTTTTTTCCCTTAAGCTTTTATCTGAATACATTAAAACCACAAAGTGCTGTGCTGTGAAATAATGCAAAATACAGCCCTCACAGAAAGGGTGCAGTTCTCAGAAATGGAGATTTTTAACTGAGCCTCACTAAAACCAGGAGGAGACCAGAAGGGGCTCTGAGGGGAGCCATAGCCTCAGTAGCAAGTCCAATATGGCCTGAAACCCTGAGAGAAGGCAGTAGGTGTCACACCCTGCAGTTAAACATAGACACCCCTGGGCAGGGATCTAACTGGTCTGGCCAAATGGCCTCGGGATAGTAATTTCTCCATGGGAAAAGACATCTTTGTCACATCAGTTACATTTCCACAAAATGCTGCATTTACATCTCATGTTTGTGCCTTATTCAGACACCTTCCCTGAGAGCCTCATTGTACTGAGAGCTGCAGAACAACCAAAACCCTGTAATGAGTGTGTATGTGCTTAAACAATAGCCATTTTGTCTCCCAGAAATACTGCCGTAAGAACACTGGATGCAGCTATTACCGTTTCTTAAACTCCTGATGATTTCTTGCCCATGGTGTGAATCCTTTGCAGTGTGGAGCACAGCTAAGCCTGATTAGCCAGCCTCACCTTTTACCAGTGGGGCTAATGGGATTTATTCTCCATTCTCACTCCCTGATCTCTCATCCCCGTTAGTTTACATCTCACCTTGAGTTAAAAAACAGTTCATCTTCAGAGCACAGTGGGCATGGCCACAGGGGATTTGGCACGCTGGATGTTATGTGGTCTGCCACGTTGGATGGGCAGTGACAAAAAATATCCCTCTTCCCCCAGGTCCTTCCATCGTCCCACTGCAGCGAGCAGAGCCAACACTGGGCAACCCTCTAAAATGTTTATTTGGACCAGTGGCCGGAGCTCTACATCTTACAGACATGATGAGAAAAGGTAAACGGCACCTGTGCTGATTGTCTCTTATGGGTTTGAATCTTCAGGAGTGTGGCCTGTGGCTCCTCCCCGGTGGTGGCAGTGGAGAAGGAGGAGGGATGCAAAGGGTGTCCATTCTGTGCCTCACAACCCTGGCTGCTGCTCCACTGAGCACAGGATCAGCCAGTGAGTGCCAGGATTAACATGCCGTGCCAGAATAGAGCAGAGGGGCAATGCCATAGCCAAAGTTTTCCTTATTCTCACACATCAGCACACTGACCATCTCTGAGGGCAGCACACACACATTTAAAAGCACACTAATCCCCAGCCCCAGGTTTGCAGTCCCAATTCCAACCCCTGTGAAGCCTTTTTGCAGGTGTCCTTCCTACTTCCAGCCATTGGCCACACTGCTCCTGCACCCTCTCCAGACAACACACACATGCAGTGCCTCCTGTTCCCCAGCCAGATCATTGCCCCACATGGCTTTTACACATCTGGATGATGCATCCAGCTGTCAGAGATGTTTTCTGGTTATACAGACACATGTGAGAGGATTGCACAGTAGCTGGAGGATGCTAAGCTGATTGAAAGTGAACTGGTAGCTCACCAGCCCACTTAAGTGGTGTTGCTGGAGGGAACAGGCTGAAGGAGACAGCAATAGATGAGTTACTGGATCTCCCAGAGGAGCAAGGAAGTACGCAAAAAAGAAGGAAAGGGAAGGAGAGGTTTGAAGTCCATAGACAAAGGCAGTGCTCCACTGGGAATGAAAGAAGTTAAATATCAATGATGAAAGAACAATTGTCAGTAATGCTCAGACTCATCCTTCCAAAATCTCTCTCCTTTGTAGTAAGATTTGCTGGACAGCTTGTCTTGTCACAACAAGGACACATTTGCCTTTCTTTTCTTTCATTTGCCCCTTTCCTCCTCTCCTTCAGTTCCTCTTGCAGTCACTATTACGTGTAATCACAAAAAATCAGACTCCAGTGAAACAAAAGCAGATATCAGTGCATCTACAGTGCCAATTAGCAAAACACACTTCTCAGTTATTCTAATGAGACATTACTGCTGGCATCTGCTTGGGAAAATACACTCCTGAATTCAGGCAGCAGAGCTGCCCTCAGGACCCTGAGATTCTTTGGAGAACTGGCCCATTTGCTGAACTTTTCTGCAAAGCTTGCATAGGTGTTCAGCTCGTTGGATAATCTGATCCCAAACAGATATTCTGAAGACCAAAAGGCCAGCTTGGAAGCAGGTTTCCATGAACTTCCAGTTGGAGCTGGTTATCTAACTGCCTCCTGTACTTCTGCAAGTCTCTTCTTTAATTGAATTTTCCCCAGGCTAATGTTCTCCTGCATTAAAACACTGTCATGGTCCAAGGTTAGACACTTGGAGGAGATATCTGCCCACACCTGGGGCTGGCTGGAAGCCAAGTGCTCCTGATTAGCATTGCCTTTGACTTTCACCATGCCTTGTTGTGGGGCTTATTAACCTGAGCTGAGGGCTGTGCTAAACAGGACTCATCGGTGCCTGGTCAGCCTAAACCCTCAGCAGAGCTCATCCCTGTCTGCCTGCAGAAATAGGGAGCAGGGAGCAGTATCTCTATGCCTACACACCAGCCATGGGAAATTCAGGTGCCTTGTCAAGCCTTCGGGTGGGTTTATTTCCCAAGTGGTCCTGTGGAGCTGTACAGAAGGAATTGTTTGTACCTTGTGAGTGATTAATGAAATGCAGGAGGGAAAGGGAGGAAAAGAAAATGGAAATAAGAGAATGCTGATGGCAGCCTCAGGACTGCAGAGGAGAGGTGTGAACACAGAGCGAGTGTTGCCAGTGGGAGAAACTCATCCACCAGCGTCTGGCAGTGATTTCAACACATGTAAGGTCACCAGCACCATCATTATATCAAACAGGGGGTACCTTTGAGAGAAATTACTTGCCTTAAATGACCCTTTCCTAGGAATTTTGTTCTTTAGAATTCAGACAGGAAGATTGTCATATAGATGAGCAAACTTGTCACCTGCTACACATGCTACAACCACAGACCTTTGAGGGATTGCACTTTAATATTAACTGTGCTGTAATGAGTCACTTGCTGTAGAGGAATCACCTCCTCCTGGGTGGAAGGTATCTCACTCAGGAATCTTTTTTTGGAGGATCAGCACCAAAATATGTGTATTTCATTGGTATTTTAGCCATTGACAGTTCCCCAGCTGCCACTTCTTATGCTTTGAAAAACTAGTCAAGTCCTCATTCTTTCTCAGATGTCAGTGAGGCTTTCCACAACACTGTAAGCTTGGGAAACCAAAGCATTCGTTTGGTTTGGTTCAGTTTGGTCCAGTTTGGTGGGGAAGAGGGAAGGAATTGAGTGAACAAAATCTGTTAATATAAATAGGAATCCTTCTGCAACCATCACTGAGACTTTTCTGAGAGCTCCAGAGAGATTTCCTGTTGCCATAGGTCTAGTAACAAAAAATGCAGCTAAACATACCTGTAAAGAAAAGGAAGTTGGCTTCAGAACAGAAAAGTCCCTAAGCGTTGGGAATTCTACAGGTAAGATACAGGACAGGTTTTTGACCATTGCATTCAGGGATTTGTCATGTCAGTAAACACCTCACCATGCGGTAATTTGATGGAGATGTGCATAACAGCTGTGATATCAGAGTAGTGAATGTGAATTCAAAGTCATTCTGAATTATTTAGACAGGTAGGCACCTCCATCTGACGAGCATCATGACTGCATGGTGCTGGAGGAGGCAGTGCCTCTCTCAGCATCTCTTCGTGGTCCATTTGCAAGGGAAGGGGTTTGAAGGCAGGTAATCTGAGTTTATTTGGAAAAAAAAAAGAAGTAATTGCAGATGTCTGGTTATTGTTGTTTTAGCTTTCCCATGAGGAAACAACACCCTTTGCAGAGCTCCTAGGTCTCCTTATTTTGGAGCAGGAGATCATGTAAAGATCTGCTGACCACACTGCAGAGGGATCCCTGCACTGCTGCTGTGCAGAGAGACGCGGAGAGGGAATTCTCTGCTCTGTCCCGAGCAGGCATGGTCACGGCTGAGATTTCCTCTCTGGCAGCTGAGCCCGGGTAGAGCAGCCAGCCCATATCCTCGGAGCAACTTGGCAAAAGGAACATGGAGATTTAGCAAGGGAGAACTTCAGTATGGAAATTATCGAGGGAGCAAAGACCTTTTGTCCTTGGAGGCATGCTTCCTATTAAATGTCTTTGCACAGGGTGGAGAGACCCCGTGTTCTGACACCTGGGACTTCTATAAAAGCAAGCAGCCCCCCTCAATGTCATATGTGGGGAGTTGTCACAAGTAATCACAAGTATTAGATGGAGTCACCTAGATGAGTAGTGTCTGGCATGCAGTGATCTGTACTTAAATACCCCATAGCAGTCATCTAAATGTGGCTGTGCAGCTCTGGGATCCAAAATCAGCCAGCTAAGCACGGCATTCTTCCAGCTCACCAAGCAGAAGGAGGTCCCTGGGCTGTGCCAAAAGTTCACAGGTACACAAAATCCACCCCCAGGCAGCAGCAAACACACGTGTGCAGGCCGTGGCTCCAGCAAAGGAGATGCTGAGGCTGCTCTCCCAGTGGCCAGATATTGCACACAACATACTGTGTTCCCCAAACCAGGGCTCTAACGGGCAAAAACTTGAAGTTTGGTGATAGCAGATGTTCCCAGTACCCTGCAGAGAAAACTGGCATCTCCCCATGCAGGCACGAGCGTGAGGAGGAGGAGGGAGGGTTACTCAGCGTGTCTCCTGGGCTGTGATGGAACTGGTGTGTCACACGCTGACACGTGCCACGCCACCACACACTTCAGTGGGTGGTCACCAGGCTGATGACTGGCAGGGATTCAGGAGAAAAAAACTCCTCAGTGAGGTGCACCAGGCTACCACTTTGCTGTTGTTTGGGGCTTTGAACAACAAATATTTGCAAAAGAGCAACTGAACCAGGGCTCCGAGCCTGACCTCAGAGGCAGAGCTTTCTTCTGCTTTATTTACTATGGCAGGTGAGCATGAAGGGTCCACCTGGCAGGTGGTCACCACACACTGTCCCCTTTGCCAGTCACCTGCCAGATAGCTCATTTCTACCACATACCCTTCAGCCCATCCTTTTCTTCTGATGGCATGTTTCTTGGCTCGAGGCCACATGGGAAGCATTTGTAAGCGCTCTCAATTAGCCATTTGTTTTTAAATTGTCCATTTGTATCCCTGTTGTGTCCTAGCTGCTCCGATGGCACTAGTGAGCGATTGCACTGTGTCTGTTTTATGTCTGCGCGCCGACATAAGTTATGCTGTGTGACCGGTTAATGTGCTGGAACTGCATGACAATCTCTGCCTTCCTGTCTGCTTCCACTTGGGAGCAATGCAAATCCTAATAGCAGCTCTCAGAGTTAAATACAGTTTGATAAATAATAATAGAAAAGTAACATTAGATTATTACTCTGCATTACTTCTTTGAAGGCAATTGCATCTGCCAGCTCACAATATATATTTTTTTTTTCCCCGAATAACACAGAAAATTTTGACAGGCTGAACTACCATTTCATTTCCAACTAGGAAAACATTGACAAGCTTTAAACAATGGTTTTGAAGAGAAACCATGGACATCTAAAGATATAGATTACAGTTGGATGGAGAAACTTCAAGAGGTTCTAGGTACAGGAGACTATTGACTGCAGTACCATCTCAGCAAGATTTTTGCTATAAAACCCCACACCATATGTGCTTTTCCTGACTGTGACTCATCACCTAAATACAAATTCAATTCCAATCTCAGGGAGTCTATGATTAAACATATTTTTTGTTGTTGTTTCTACTGTGTTTATGTATGATTTTATATCTGTCTTAACTCTATTTCTTTGTCCTTAATAGTCAATGTAAGTCATCTGGCTGATCTGACTCAGTGCTTTTTTCCACGGTTGAGTGAAACTTGGTGGTTTCAGCTTAAATGAGTGGTGGGTTTGCCAGAGCCCAAAGTGATGTTGATGTTGCTCACCTGCCGTTTTGCAGACAGTAGAAGAGGAACTTCTTCCACGTGTACTACTGTGTCCATGTTATGGTGGTGCCAGGGCTCAGAGGTGTGCGGTTCACATGCTTCGGGTGCTGCCTGGATGATTCAAAAGAACCATAACAGAAAACACAGGAGATTTTGACCAGCCTCAGGTCTGTAAGTACATTT